CATATTAAAAATGAATACATAATAATAAATTCGTTACAATGATCAATCTCTAGACTATAAATATTCCAATAAAACAGAAGGTTTTTCTGTTTTCATAATCTAGTACTTGTGTCATAATGATTTAGATATACTATAATTAATTCTACGGGACTTCGGAGAGTGACAACAACTGTTACATTACACGCAATCATTAGCATTTTACACCTTTTCAATAAACATGTCATAAAGAACATATCTGGACAGTTTTAAAATGTGTTTTTATGAAAATTAAAAATGTCGTCATTACTTTAATTTCATTTGGTGATAACCCAATCCACATATTATGTACATGCTTTGCTATGCATATCTCGAATTTATCAATCGCATTTTATTTGCCTGGTTGGCATGTTCCCTATCAAATTTTGCATTTGAAATCAATACTAATATAATATTGTGTGAAGTTACGAATATTATTAGTATGCCTTTTCTCTTTAATATAAGTATATTATACCATATTGTAAATAGTTCATGTATTTTTGTGCTTACTTTTTATCTTAAGGATAACATTGCTCTTGGCCCGGAGTAGTGTAAGAACTTCTTCATGAATAGCCTGATCGATGTTGTAACCGTTAATTCCCATGATTTGGTCTCCAACCTGCAAGCACGGGATAACAATAAATAATCAGTTCCTGCACGACTTTTTTTCCCATTTATTTATTTTTATACTTTTCCACACAGAACATTTGCCAATATCTCATATAATAAGTTCACTCTTCCCACTAAACATACAGATTATTTACTCAAAATAGCATTCAATACAAATATTTCATCAATACATCGTACAGTATTTACCATCAACTTCTCATCTCTGCCGTAACATGTTACACTTAAGGTTTTTATATTTATATTCCACATTCTTCATTCTGGTTATTTATATTCACTTCTATGTTCATGGTGTTTTTATTCATATCCTACACTGGTTTGTTTATCACAATCTCCTACATTTCAAGGGTTTGCGTATGTTGCCACTATCAACAAGTAATAAAAACATTTTGTATATGTAAAATGATGTAGACTTAGTAGTGCCAAAAAGAATGCAAACGAGAATTTCGTGATGATTCAGTTATACATAGGTAACACAGGCCTGCGAATTTAAACAGCATAAAAGTTATTTTGGTTTTAATAACGAATTTTCGATAATTCAGCTATGCAGATTTCGAAAATAATATTAATTTTTTTCTATCATATAAGGATTTTTTACAACTTGGGAAGACGATAAAACTCTTACTTAGGTCAAATTATTATTTCATTTACCACAATGGACATTTTTTATTAGTAAGTTTGTTATATTTGGGTTCTAAAACGATCAATAAGACTCACGTCGCGATTGGTCTAGAGAAATTTGTAGCCAGTAGTTGTTAATATTTTAATCATAACAATATGTGACCAGATTTCAATGAAATGGAGAAAAATGGATATAATTTTCGGATTCACCATACAGAGATTACTGTAGAACATGTAAACATTTCAAGACAATATAACCATCGCAGGCCTGTGTAATCCACATATTACTTTCAATATTAAAATGTAATGCTGCACTGTAAAGTGCACGAGCACAAAATGGTACAAGGTTGGTCAATTAGACCGACCTCCTAGCGAGAGCCTGTAGTAATCAAGACATATTTTGACTCGACTTGGTTTTCCTTGTACGTAAGTCCTAGGCTCTTAGTTACACTACATTGATGCCTACCCTGACACGACCATGATATTATGATAAACAAACTGCATACCAACAGTTAGAAATATACACTTCCAACTACATTAATAAAAAAGTCAAGTATGCACTTTACAGTGTAACACTAAATTTTAATATTGAAAGTCATGTAGGGATGATCTATGTATAACTGTATCATCCCTATATTCTTGTTAGCATTTTTTGTGGCATTGCCATCCCTACATCATTTTACAGTAACATAAATGTTTTTATTACTTTTTTGTGACGTTTTTCCCCTGATGAAAGTTATTATATTCTATGAAGGTGTGTAATAAATTTAATATTATGTGTATACATAATATAGGGGTTGGCTCCCTAAAGACTCCGATTGTAGTGTACAAAGCAATGAGTATTCTACGAGTTACAATCATCTTATGTTCATCTGTTGTTGGCTGGTCATTCCTGTTTCATCCTGTACCCAAGTATTTTAAAACACGATTTATGATTTTCTAAATAAATATTTATTACTATTAGTTATTATGACTAAACGATGACATAGAGCAGATTTGTATTTAAACTGACGTTAGTGAAAAGGTAATTGTAGAGTTATCTCGACTGAAACAAGAAGAAGAAAGATGAACAATTTGGTGGGTTGATCACTTGCTGGTTTGGTATCTTAGTGATGGTTTCTTGCCTTGTTTTGGGGCTTGTTGGGTAGAGAAACAAATGAAAGTGAGTGGCAAAAACTCTCTTTCATTGTTGATTTTTAGCGTGCATGTTTGTATTATGCCTATAGAGTACCTTGGCCATGCCTACATAACGAGTTAACCGACTTTATGATACTGTTACGTCTCTGTTCGTTAGCTAATTTCCCATATAATTGTTCGTCTCTGTCCCTGTCTGTTACCTATCATTGGTAACAGTCACATCAGTGTAGTAACTTCATCAAGGGCTTCACTGTTTCCCTTCTCAAAACCAAGTAGAGTTTCTTCTTTGA